AAGAGATATTCATCTATTCCCTAAGACATTTGAACACCAACAAGTAAACCAGCCAAACAGCCCAGATTATGACTGCGAAAAAGAAAAATCACCACAAAAACAGACGCATTGAGACATAAATGCAAATCACAAATTATTAAACGTAGTACGTGGTATCCAAATCATTCCATCATTGAGGCGAAAGGGCGAACAAGTGCACCCAGAAATCCGACACGGCAGCGCATAGCATCGAAACGAATTTAACGAATTAAGCACAAAAACAGACAAGAGAAAAGAAGAAGGGAGCCCCGAAGCATCTAATCCAGGTATCGTGAGTGGATCGAGCGGGTGTAATGGTAATCGGCACAGAAGTAGATGCATCCATCCATTGTTTCGAAGCCCCTTAGCGTAGGCTGAAGTAGCTGGCAAGAGCCTCGTGGTGCAGCTTCTTCTTCTGAAGGTCTATGGCGATCTTCTTGGAATCGGAGTCCGGGGACTTTGAGCCGAGCGAGTACCACTTGTGGTTCTTGATTGACGCGTCGGCTGAATTGAGAGTCGTCGCCGTGGAGATGGTGGAGTGTGTTGAGGCTGCGCTCGATGTGGTCTTGGAAGACGAGGTGGAGGACTTGCTGAACATTTTGGTTGTATTTGACACTTTGTACGTGTGTTTTGGGGGATTTGGAGGATTGGTTGAGAATTTGGAGGGTTGGTTGATAGCGGAGGTACAGGCGTAAACGAAATGTAAATGAAGTATGAGGTGGTTTGGTGGTTATAGTTTGGGAGGAAGGTGTGAGAAGAATGTCACTGTTTAGATCTTTAAGATCTGATGCTTTGCAATATATTGGATTGGAATATCTCTTTCTACGGGGATATCATCGGGTCTTTATATAGAGACGTGGATCACCAACCACAGCATTTACTCCGTGCTAGGTTGTCATTCCAAGAGAAAATCTCAAAACGCCAAAGCCCCACTATCTCAGTCATAGTAGACATCAAGTCTAGATGCTTCGCCGTGTAAAACCTACAGGGACAGCCCAAAAAAGACGTCAGTCACAGCCGCCTTATGTGTGGGGCCGCTAAAGATCGGAGTAAGGCTCGGAGTTCGATTTTTATTTTTTACTGGCGGACTACAGGAGTGGAAAGCCAAAAAATATTCAATAAAAACGTCGCGGTAGAATTATCCAATGGAATGCGATAAAACAAGCTAATTGCTCTCCGGAGCATGTGTGTCCATCCTCTAGACCTAAATGATGATACCGAAAAGTGCGGGTTCCTAATTCAGCAATCCATTCGCACGCCCTTTCATATGCAACTCGTTTAGACTTCCCCGTTCAGAAATATCTTGCGAAAGGGCGCAGTTAATTTTTAGTGCTTGTGTGGCTTCCCTTTTTTACTATTCACATGTTAGACTGAGCCTTAGGCTGACACTAATTTAGATATCCATCTTCCCAGGTCGGAGTTGAGGTCTGGATTTTGTCCGAAAGAATCTTAAATGAATTCTAGATGGCGATATGGGCGCACGGGTAAATATATGCAGTGTATCTGTTTCTACAAATTGCAGGGATACTTCCCAGATTTGGAGGATAAATGTCTAGATGCTAACGCGTTCTTTACGAAGTGGCTTAGGATGACTCAAAAAAGCGGGGTTAATTGCGGCTTCACAACAAGGCTTAAAAGGATGCCTGGGAGAATTAGAAATCAAAGGATGGAGTATAAAGGATAAAAAAATGAGATGACTCGGGAATGTGTCAACCGACAGGCAGTTTTAGTCTAAGTATGATATAGTAGAACAGGGATGTTCCGGGTTTTAGGTAGTCCGACGTTAGTCCGAACATGGAGATTTTCATTCCGAGACGGAGTACTGAATTCGTGATCACCCTTGATTTCTAATTTATAAATTACGGTGAAGTGCCATTTTAGATTTGAAATCCTGATGGGAAAAATAATTCTGCAGGGCCATGTAAGGATCGGAGTACATGTGGTGAGCAGGGGTGTTAGTCCGATAGAGTTGGTCCGGAAGTCCGATCGATGAGGCTTGTGAACCTTATATTTTCTAGAGATGACTTAATCACAGCCAGCCAGGAATGATTAATTATCTCCATAACCCGCGTTGTCTCTTTGGATATTCTAACTAACACGCTCTGCGGCCTTGGCAGCAGTACATATCCACAGGCTTCCCGCTTTTACGAATGGTGCATTTGACTTGTTTTCGAGGCTCCACGACAAGCCGAGTCATTGAGTGACGTGTCAGCCCTTCTTCGAATCTCCTGTGATTGTGCTGGAATGCAACATCTGGTCTCAGACAATTGATGAAAAACTCATCTTGGAATGTTGGAATATTCTGAGTCATGAATCAGCCACAGTATCAACTATGCTTTCTAACACCGATGATTATTGCAATTGGATATCTCCGGGTTGTGTTGGAGTGATAGTCTTATTGCTGTCAGCTTCAACATGGTTATCCAACCAAGTCCGCCCGTGGAAGATCGACATGTTAGTAATCATTTCAGGTCATGGCAGACACACCCGGTAGTTCGGCTTGGCAGCAACACTTTTGTCGAAGGCGAAGCATTGCAACTGGCAATGACGTGGAGCAATCTAATTCCGCACTCTGGAAGTTTCCGCAGGGTCCTCTCGGAGCATTTGTCAGCTTCAGGTTCCACAGCATTTGGGAAACTCCTTGCTTGGTACAATTGAAGGTTCAGGATGAATAACCGAGAAGAATTGTGGGTTCTGAGGGGTTGGAGGCTTGATTTAAAAGAGCTTCGGTTCCTGGTTTGGTATGTCCTTTTCTCTCAATCTCCCCCTCACTTTCAATCCAAAATAACTACCTCACCAAAACCAAAACAATGTCTCTCAAGCCAATTACCGTCTACGGCCATGGCCTAGGCCCCAATCCCTGGAAGGTGATCATGGTCCTGGAAGAACTGAATGTTCCATACACCCACAAGATCGTCAACTTCCCAGACATGAAGAAAGAGCCATATGAGTCCATCAACCCCAACGGCCGCGTGCCCGCAATTGAAGACCCCAACACCGAAATCACCCTCTGGGAATCAGGTGCAATTGTCGAATACCTGGTTGACACATATGACAAGCAAAACACCATTAGCTTTGCCACCGGCTCCAAGGAATACTACCTCGCCAAGCAATGGCTCCACTTCCAGGTGTCTGGCCAAGGCCCATACTTCGGCCAGGCTATCTGGTTCAGCCGGTACCACTCAGAGAAGGTGCAAAGCGCAATCGAACGCTACATCAACGAAATCCGCCGTGTCTCTGGTGTGCTCAACCGCGCCCTCGAGGGCAAGCAGTATCTCGTCGGTGACAAGTTCTCATATGTCGATGCTGCTTTCGTGCCTTGGTATCTGCTTACTGGCCAGTTTGGAATTGATATGGAGAAGGACTTCCCCAATGTCGCTGCTTGGTTAAAGCTGGTACAGGAGCGTCCCGCTATCACCAAGTCGGTCCAGGATCGGACTGAGGCTTGTGCGCAGCACTAAACGAATTTTATAAGAATATTTGCCAGTGGATAGAATGGAATGAAACGAAAAACTGCATGAATAGTGGGCCCCCTATGCGCCCTCTGTTCTTGACGACGCAAGGCTTTAATGATCTGATCTACTTGGCCAAAAATAATAGTAAGAAGATACCGACGTGTTTTTGATCTTTTAGGCTTCTTTTAGATGTATGTATAAACCGTACAGATTACTTTTCTATGCCCACGGGTACAACTGGGGATTGTACCTTTATTTGGATTTGTCTGCCTGGCTGAACCGCGCTTTCCCTATATCGGCCTGGCACTTGCCATCGCGAGCAAACTCAAGGAAAACTGGCGTCGAACACCCTGCAGAATTTTCTTCCTTTTCGTCTCTGTCAGAATCTTACTTTATATTTTCAAATTTTGCGTTTGCGCAAAAGTTTGTGTAAGTGACAGGCTGTTGAAACATGTCACAAATTGTGAGCGCTGTCTCCGCTGCAGTATGAGCATGGGAGCTGATAGCCCCCAAGCTTGAACCTCAGGGCAAGGGGGAACCTCCACCCTATGGAGAGAGGTAATCTATTCAAGATTGCTGGGTGCATTTATGGATGGGCAACTCCATTGGTAGTCTAGGCCAAGTGGTGCTGCACACACTTCGTTGTCTTGCGCCCCTTTACTAAGGAACAAAGGCGCGGGTTTGGATCAGAAAGACTCATTCGAGTTATAGATATATGCCAAGCATCTGAGGCCAAGGTGCGATTTGGTTCAACACACAATGCCCCTTTTGCGATACACCTCACCAACAAATCGGCCAATGCAGCGATAGAAAGTAGTATACTGCTTTGCTAGTAAGGTATGCTATTCCTGAGCTAGCCTCTGTTGATAACTAATTTTGAATCCGCCAATCGTGACATGTGTTTGGTGATGGGTTTCGCCGTCGCATGTCCGCGCGCGAAAAGAGGGCGCTTAGAGATTCGAGAGGAAAACACGCATTGAGATAGTTTCATCGCTCAATATAATTGAACATTTCCACAGTTCCGCCAACTTATCTTTTTTGGCTGTGCTTGACACCTTCAGATGCTCCTAGAAGACTGCGAGGATGACTAGACGCGTGACATCCCCACTTGAAGACTCCCAATTGTTGACTGCGCGCTGGCCAGCTACCTCCAAGCCAGATGATCAGTCGTACTGGCCAAATATTGGAAACAAAGAGCAAATTCCAGGATGGCTGCGTGATAATTATTATATTTTGGAAGGCCATCCGATGCCTACATATTCTTACAAGCGATCTTTGCGTCTGTGGCGTTGTTTACACATGGAAACCATGAACATTTGGACCCATCTACTCGGATCGATAGCCTTCATTGCTGTTGGTTTCTCTCTGAATCGTTCCGTTTCACTCTCAAAAGAGCTCGGTTTCACGACCGGCGATGTATTTGCTTTCGGGTCCTTCTTGGCCTCGGCAACCATCTGCTTTGGCCTCAGCGCTGGATTTCACACTCTAAGAAGCCACTCTTACAATATTCACCATCTCTGAGGAAGAATGGATATTCTCGGAGTCTGTTCCCTCGCTCTCGGAGCTGGTACCTCCATGACATATTACGCATTTTATTGCAGATCCTTCCTCCAGTGGGTGTATTGGGGACTCAATCTCTTCTCAGCGATAGGCGCTGCTATCACTTTGTTTGACACCGGCGGCGGCGGTACTAAAATGAGAACTCTACGAGGAGGTGTTTTCTCCTTACTCGCTATTTCTGCCATGCTGCCCATTCTCCAAAGTGTGATTGAGTTAGGCTGGACTCGTGCGGGTAATGAAATTGGTGCTGGGTGGTATCTCGCAGAAGCACTCTCCCTCTTGACTGGAGTGAGCGTGTTTGTCTGTCGATTCCCAGAGAGACTGAGCCCCGGAACCTTTGACATTTGGTGTCATTCCCATCAGCTTTGGCATACATTTGCGGTACTTGGAGGCGCTTTCCATATTGTTGCTTTGGTGGCTGCATATGACTATCGTCGGATGCACAAAATCTGCTGAGCTACCTCGCGGCGCAATTTTACTTAACCACTGGCCAGTACTTGAAGTAATTGATCAAAAAGGGACCACCTCCCACAGTGTCAGGAGACATTCAATGAATGGAGCTGTTAAGGCCCCAGCTTGACATGAGCGAATAACCACCGTCACTCTAGAGGTTACGATCTCAGAGAAACAGGCAGATTTGCCGAGCGAGGTTGACTTTTGGCTTGGCTAGAGCAGAAATGTCCCCCAAATTACGGGGTCACGACACTACCGTTCAAGATATTAATGGTATTCTGTATTTAGATTATAAGGTGCCCTGTAAGAGATTTTTTTTTTGGATAATATATGTATACAAGCAGCGAATAATCTCCTCTGTATACATTCTACAAGTAAAAGACCTCGTCTTCGAAACGAGAATGAGAATAATCCCTAGTTTTATATAGAGAAGTCCTCTATATAGTTTATGCCTTTTGCTGCCTTTGTATACACCTAAGAAGACATTTGAAAAGACCCCGAAAAGTCCTGATAAGGCCGCAGAAGCGATCGACTATTCTTGTTACATTTGATGCGGGAAGTTCTTAGTACTGTTGCATAATCTTCTCTTTTTCCCTGTTCTTCGCTTCTCTTTTATTTCATAGGCGGGCTACATTGAGTAAGATCGGCACAGAATTGCTTGTGTCAATCTCGCGTGGATCTTTGCTAGCATATTCACTGTTTTGTGAATCTGTACCTTTAATCTGTACCTGTTTGGATCTTCAGGAATTCCAACGTTTTATTTATATATGGTCAAATATGTGTTTGTTTACCCCTTCATCTATTATAGACAGAGTCAATCTATTATTTCATGTCATATTAATTGCAGATTAGAGATTCGAAGAAACCGAGATAGTTTGGCCACTTCTTCAGCGCCGGTGGTCTCCGGTGGCTGGAATGCTTTAGTGCTGACCCCGCAATTCAGTTCGCGAATCAAACTCCGTAGAAAACCGGCGTGTTCTTATCTGCTGACAAGCCCCTGCATATAGGCCGTTTTCTTGCTGTAACATCGGCTGGCTTTATGGCAATGTGACTTGCACCAGGTGGAAATCGCCGACGCTTGAAACTATATATTGCAATTGAATTTTCACTGACCTTCATACATAAACACTTCACAAAACACTTTAGACTGTGACTCCCAATTTTTCTAAAGAATGGTGTCTCTATCTAGGATTGCTTTCGTCACCTTCGGGGTCATTCATGGGGCAAATGCATGGGGTGTATTGGGCCACGCGACTGTTGCCTATGTTGCCCAACACTACATTTCTCCTGAAGCCGCATCATGGTAAGTTCCCTTTAAGATAACGAAAGTATTCAATGCTAATGTGATCCAAGGGCAAAAGAAATTCTCAATGACACTTCTAGCTCGTATTTAGCAAACATTGCTTCTTGGGCGGACCAATATCGCCTCACAGATGACGGCAAATGGTCAGCCCCATTGCACTACATTGATGCCATGGATGATCCCCCCAAAAGCTGCAACGTGGACTATGAGCGCGACTGTGGAGATGAAGGCTGCTCAATCTCTGCCATTGCCAATTACACCCTGCGCGCAAGTGATGGCAGACTTAGTACTGACCATACCGCCGAAGCCCTCAGATTCCTCGTGCACTTCATTGGTGACCTCACACAGCCACTGCACGATGAGAACTACGAGGTTGGCGGAAATGGTATCAAGGTCACTTTCAACAACTACAGTGACAACCTTCATGCAGATTGGGATACATACATGCCTGTACAGCTGATTGGGGGTAGTTCGCTCGCCGATGCACAGGAATGGGCCGACAGCCTGGCGGATGAAATCGCCACGGGTACCTACAAGAAGCAAGCTACGAGCTGGATCAAAGGCGATACTATCAGTGACACTGTCACCACTGCTACTCGATGGGCGTCGGATGCCAATTCCTTTGTCTGCACCGTTGTCATGCCGGATGGGGCTGCTGCCCTCCAGACTGGTGATCTCTACCCAACATACTACAACTCCGCCATCGGCACGATCGAGCTGCAGGTTGCTAAAGGTGGCTACCGACTAGCCAACTGGCTCAACATGATCTACAAGCAAAAGATTGCTGCCAAGAATACGCCAGGGAAATTCGGCAAAGGGCCCCGAGAGCCAGCGCCTGAGCCAGAGTTTTCCCGCTTGTCTCCTCGTGAGCCTCGTCAAATGAGTCGCGCGAATCTGGCTAGGGCGGCCATGGGAGGATCTTGCTGCACCTCGGAAGGGCGTGAGCATAGCCATTGATCCGATGGAATTTGAAAAGAAAATATATTTTGTGGATCTAGCTGCCTTGGGCTGCCCATCCTTGTTTATTCCAGAACGATTTTTGATATACTACATCCTTCCTTCTTACAACCTATAGATACATACATAGTCATCATGGATGATGACTCTTCCTGATTCATTATCAATATATCTTGTTTGTAAAATAAAACCAAAAGAAAAAAACATAAAAAAAACATACATCAGCATATGAAGGTCACCTAGCGCCCACGGTTCGGGTGTGGGCGAGTGAGAGAGAGAAGTGAGAGAGAGAGAAGTGTGAGAGAGAGAAGTGAGAGAGAGAGAAGTGAGAGAGAGAGAAGTGAGAGAGAGAGAAGTGAGTGATGGAAAGTGGAGGGTGCACTCCATGGCAGTCATTATGTTATTTCTTATGTACGGGTTTGGGGATTTATGGGTTTCTACGGGCTACAGGAATGGGCTGATTCCGCACTCTTTACAATTAGCGTCTACCTGTATACCCTGGGAGAGATCCCGCTCGGCGTTGGGCTTCGAGTTCTTGCTTCAGTTGGATGAAGCGCCTGCATAGTCATACGCAACTAGTTAGACTGCAACAGGTTAATTGAACTTTGATTGATTGATTGATTGATTGATTCGGGTGTGGGCGGCTTGCCGCTCTATTTAGCGCATTTAGGGCAGATATTTACCAATCTAAATACTCCTCACCGCTAGGTTGGGTGTATCGAATACTAAGTCGAGTATATAGTAGAGATACGGTATTTTACCCAGAAAATCATATAACACTTGGTACCAGGCATACTATACAAAAGTGCATAATACAGTTAGTCATCGATTTCCGCACAGATTGTTGAAATAACGGGTTTTTGTCATTTTAGTGAATTAGAGTTCTCCACATCGGTCACCCATACCACACATTGTTCGTCACCAGATTTCTGTTAAGATGTACAATCCTACAGATTCCGTTGCTGTTCTTTTGTGTCACGTGAAACGGCGGTTGGGATCTCGGAAGTATTGGGCTGCATTTCGGTACCCTCACATATCGCGTTCTATATGAAGCTACGAAATCCCGCCCAACACTTCGGAGGCCCAACTTGCAAAGTACCGAACTGCCGCTTAACTAAGCGGAGCCGGTTCAACAACCTTGGCCGACGACGGTACATTCAAGTGCCGACCTACGATTGGAAGTAGGCAGAGGAATAAATGAACTAATAAACATCCCAGTGCTAGTTAGGCTATTGCTCAGCAAGCATGTCTTCCCACCTGGACAAGCCTTTTGCCTGCTCTTGGTGCAAGGCCCGCTTCACAAGGAAGGAACATAAGTTAAGACATGAGCAATCGCGTCAGTTGGATACAAGAGTTTCCGCTAGATTCACCAGCTTACAGGGATCAGATTCTCCAAGGCGATACTTCCAGTGTTCTGTATGCCCCAAGGTTTTTGTACGGAAGTAAGTCCGCTATCCATTGGAACCCTGAGTATATTAATATAGGAAATTCACAGGGATGTGCTACTGCGGCATCTCAAATCAATACACGACTCTACACTGGCTATGGGAACACCGAAACTAGTCAACCCTACTGCTCGCGCGCAAAGTGAAGAACCTGATGAGTCGAACGTACTCGTTCGAGACATAGAAGTTACAGTACCTATCGAGCCCCGTCCGCCCATCTGTGACGGCGAGATCCCACTTGCTCACACAGAGTCATTTTCCTTCTCCGACCTGGTCGGCGCCGAATTTAATGGATCAGTACTAAGTGAGGATCTTGGATTTGACTTCTGCAATAATGATTTCGATAATCTAATGGGCATATCCGAAAATGACGTGTTGATGTTGTGCGACTCTGACGATGACGATGGTGATACCTCGCCTAGACGAACAATGGACTTTGCCTCCTACCTTGAAGATACTGGAAGTCGAACACAACCAAGTTATCTCGCTTTAGTCGGCGGCACCGACACCTTCACTCGGTACCAACCCATCACGCAAGGTGCGCAGGGTCCATTACAGGCTTGCTGGCCCACCGAACTGGCTGCTCAGCGGTATGTTCGAGCATTTTTCGGTTCCTTTCAGAGACATATACCACTGCTCCACCTCCCAACATACCTTGCGCATCAACGCTCGAAGCCGCTGCAGTTTGCAATTTATGCGGTCGGTGCCCTTTATGTGTTTAATGGGGCCGAAGCCCGTCAATTATACCGTGCCGGGCACGAAGCTTTCTTGGCCCAAAAGTCATTGCTAGCACCTCTCGAACGACTACAGACGTTACTTTTACTTACAATGTTCGGAAGCTGGTCCGACGACGATGATCTACGGGCGGAGGCTATACCGCTCCAAAGCCAGCTAGCAGAAGTTAGTCCCCTACTCATGACGGAAGTCCGTATGCTTAGAGAATACAGGAATTGCGCGACATTCCGAAAGATTTTGTGTCGTCTGAATGTAGTTCTTGGGATGCATGGGTGCGGAGGGAAACGTTAAAAAGGTCATAACTCCTTCGGAGGCCGTGGACCCACGCTGATTCTCTGAAACAGGACTATTTTAAATATCGTGTGCTTTCTAGGCGTGATGAACGTGGCCTCTTTATCATCGTCAATATTCCTTCCGCCATCCTTTGACATCGAATTTCCGTATTCGGAAACCCTTTTTCTCTGTAATAAGGAGGAAGACTGGAAATACCTTTTCAGTTCTGCCCCACGACCTCAAACGTTTAAGGTCGCCCTTCACAATCTAACGTCATTATGCGGTCCCGTGTTGCAAATCGACAGTGGCTTGGGCAATCTCGTATTGATGATTGCGCTGTATACGCATGTGAGATCTTGCAAATCGGTCTCTTCCTCGCTCCCGACTCCTCTTGGCCGGGAGATAACCGAGACAAGCACCGTATCACTGAGGCGGTGGCTGAATTCGTTGGCCGGTTCGGGGATTGGACGCCAACATGAACAGATTGGTGCCGATTGTTCCCTCACTGCGTCGGCGTTGATTCTATGGAAAGTTGCTACCATTCAGCTCTATGCAGATTTCGATTCAGTTGTGGAAGTTCAAGACGCCATTCTGGCTCTTTCTACAGGACAACAACAAACCATCTCCGCCCTCCAGCCAATTCGGATGCCTACTCACACAGCCGAGGCCATGGGCCACGCGGTCTCATTCGTCCATGGACCGGTTCTCCGTGGTATCCAATTCCTCAAAGCGACTGCATGTGCCGATATCAGCATATATGCTGGTCTGATGGGGTTTCACTGTGTTGTTCTTCTAGTTAGATGGTTATCTAGCCTAGAGTCTGCGAGCAAGGCGACTGGCAGCCAGTGCACTCACCCAGACGAGCTGCTGTTGCTCCAGAATATTCGTGAATTTATCGGTGAATCTGACCAACCCTCAATAGAGGGCGTCCCACTGAGTGTGGCTTGTGCCAGAATTTGGGTGGAAATCTTGGAATCCGACCGCCAAATCTGGGGGGTTAGGAAGCTGCTTCGTACTTATCTTGACAAGCTCATATAGTGAGACTCATGTCAGTCTCCAGTACTGAGTTCTCATTTCCGACCCGAACATATTAGTCAATAATGTGCTGGACATGGGCAGAAGAAAGGTCAATAATGCCGGTGCGTAGTCGATACATTATACCATTTTAGGATCTTTATATTTCGTACGCTCGTAGTTATATCATTTCGAGAATCGGGAGGAGAGGAGAGGACGCCGTTTAACAAAGTTATATACCCATTTTCGCAAAAACCGGGGTAGTTCCACGCTTTTAAAGAAGAAGATCCGCTATTTCTCCTACCATAGAGGGCCGGGGAGTTGCTCTACGTAGATCCATAGAGAGAATCCATTTTTAAAGAGATTCCTCTTTAATTCCAGTCAATTTAGATGAATTGGCGCGAGAAATCGCGCGGTTTTGAACCCCATTGAGACGAGTAGAAAGGGTAGATCTTAGGACGTTAAAACGGCGCGCCAATTCACGAATCGAAGAGATTTCTCGATTTTTAAAAGCCTAGATAGCTAATAAAAGCCTACCCTCTTTCACTGTTGAATTACTAGAGGATCGAGGCGAATTGGTGGCATAGTGGGTGGTTGAATTGACTAAGTAATAACCTATAGACGCGTTTTCGATGGGGTGGCCAGCTCTCTTACATGGCCAGCTCGCTTAACGTATTCGGTAAGCGAGTGGCCACTGTAAGCGAGTGGCCACCCCAACTAAAACCTACTAATTTAAATGCATATACGTCAACCAAAACTCCATTAAATTGAATAAACTAAAATCATCATCTATCTGGACATGTCTCTCTTCTATGTCCTGGCTTCCTGCATATTCCACACCCCCGGGGGGGCCGCGTACGTGGCTGAATAGCCGATTCTCTAGGTATGCCGGGGCCGGGGGGAGGTGCTTCAGTTGCTTCCTGTTGCTGTATAATTAATATAGAGGCTTCTTGAACTGAGAGGCCTTCTTCTGCAGGTATATGCCTTCGGGATCTAGTACGCTTTTGCTTCTGCTTCTCGTTGGCGGCGTGTAATTCCTTGTTTTCGTTGGCGAGTAAGATAGCACCTTGCATTGTAAGACGGAAGCCCTTTATAAGCTGGTTTAATGCACGATCTGACGGGCTAGGCGGGCTCCGAGATCTTGTACGAAGTAGAGCTTTGATTGATAAAGCCTGTCGACGTAGTTCTTTCTCTGTAAAGGGGGTTTTTGGGGTAAAATTCCGGCTTGATTTACTCCCCCTACTCGGAGGGGGGGTAGGCGTTCGGAGCTGGATATCGAGCTTTAAGATCACTCGGTCGGGTCCAAATGGTACTAAACCGGCTGCTGCGAAGCTATTTTTAATCGTCTCCGATTTAAAGGCTTCAATTCGTACGAGGGGGTATACTTCGAGGAAGTCAAGTTTGTTAATATAGTTGATCCCGTTCCGTATCTTAGTTTCAACCATCCGACCGTACGTACGTTTTAATACCGCAAAACAACTAATATCTAGAGGTTATAATAGATGAGATAAATGTGCTGGTATATAGATTGGTATCACTTTATTTTGCTCGCAAATTTCGTCAAATTAAGGTGTTAAATGACTTCTATAGCCATCGAGTATTAAAAGTCGATACCCCCCCTTCGTACGTAAAGAAGTAGTCGGAATAAAGAGCTTTTCGAGCTAACGAAGGCTAATTTTATCGGAGGTCCAGCTATTAGGACTAACTTCGAAGCGCCAATCCTCCGGGAGGCCGTCGAACCATGATTTAATAAAGACTTTGCCTTTAAAAACTATATACGGAGGAAGGGCCTAGCTAGAAGCATTCGTATACTCAATAACAGTCACCTACTCTCGATTTCTAGGTTATAAAACCGGCCTCCGACCGTAGTATTTACTCCTCGTAATAACCTTCGTAGTTGTAGTTAATCCTATTATAAAGCCGGTCTTATCGAAGTTATAGATATCGTCGGGGTCGATCCTAAATTAAAGGATGGTTTTTTAAACAAGATCAAACCACCCTTAAATGATTTTAGGGTCTTTACATTTCGCGCGCTCGTAGTTATATCGTTTCGAGAATCGGGAGGAAAGGAGAGGATGCCGTTTTATATAGTTAAATACCCATTTTTCGCCGACCGAAAGAACTAGGGTAGTTCCACGCTTTTGAAGAAGAAGATCTGCCATTTCTCGTACCATAGAGGGCCGAGGGGCCGCTCCACGTAGATCCATAGAGAGAATCCATTTTTAAAGAGACTCCTCTTCAATTTCAGTCAATTTCGAGCAATTGGCGCGTGAAATCACGCGGTGTTGTACTCCATCAATTCGGCGGCGGAGAGTTGTACGCGGGACATTGAATGTACGCGCAGCAAGAGAAATAGAGCTAATATCTCTATTTTTAAAAGCCTGGATAGCTAATAAGATCCTACCCTCTTGCTCTATTGAATTTTTAGAGGATTGAGAGCGTATTGGTGGCATAGTGGGTGGTTGAATTAACTAAGTGCTAATTCATGGACGCGTTTTTGGTTGGGGTGGCCACTCGCTTACAGTGGCCACTCGCTTACCGAATACGTTACCGAATACGTTAGTTACTTAGTTAACGTATTTCACAAGCGAGTGGCCCACACAAGCGAGTGGCCCACACAAGCGAGTGGCCCACCCCATCGAAAACGCGTCTATAGGTTATTACTTAGTCAATTCAACCACCCACTATGCCACCAATTCGCTCTTAAAGCTCTAGAAATTCAATAGAGTAAGAGGGTAGGATCTTACTAGCTATCTAGGCTTTTAAGAATCAAGAAATCTCTTTAATTCGTAAAGTAGCGCGTCGTTTTAATATACCACGTAGACTGCGACAACGCCCACCAAAGTGGAGACACTTTTAGCGTCGCCAAGACATATGCGGGCACTCTTGGCAAAGTGGATACTGCCAAGATCTGATTATGTACATAAAATAGCCTAATAGGGTAATTTTTGCATTAATTTTGCATAACGGTGGGCGATGGGCGTCAAATTTCAAAAGGCCCACGGGCCGTGGACACTTTCTAGTGCCCATGGACGGGCGATGTCGCAGTCTACGTAGAACTACCCCGGTTCTTTCGGTCGGCGAAAAATATGTATATAATTATATAAAACGGTATCCTCTCTTTTTCTCCTAATTCTCGAAACGACATAACTATAAGCGCGCGAAATATAAAGATCCTAAAACCATTAAAGGGTAGTTTGATCTTATTTAAAAAACTTACCAGACAGTCTTAAGACAAGCGGGGGCTTAGTAGAATATAGAAAATTCGCTCCGTTTCTCCGGCTAGCCCTACGGATTACAGGTGGGGCACCACTTCCCAGGAGAACTAACTGAGGAGAAAGAAAAATTGCAGCACCAAAATGTGGCTAAATCAGGTGATAATGGTGCACCACCTAGTACTAACACTACTATTGGGGGCCTGAGAACGGGGTGACCTAACAAAACACGGAATTCGTGGAAGACTATTAATACACGCTCATAAGTCCCTTGGTGGACATATTTACTTTCCAAATCAAGAGATCCTACGCTGCTTAAGGTACATCGATCCCGACACCCGTTCAATTCTAGCCCAAGGAGAATACTAACTCGAAGTATAGTGGGACAGTGAATATTAGTCGTCTCAATACACGTTGGTTATTATCAGGCGGTGCTGATTTGAACGATTAAGATGGACTACCCAGCCTATATTGAGTCGTACAACACCGCGCACAACGAGCGGCAAACGGCACTTCGGTTTTTTACTGATGACGTTATTCTCGAAGACGGCACCAACAAGGTTCAGGGGCGCGAACAGGTCATCAAACTGTTCGAAGCAGCCCACAATGGAATCAGCGAGGAGTTGATAATCCGTGCCTGGGCACAGACTGGGGAAACTATACTGGCTGAGCTTGACGGCAAATTTGTCAGTGATGAGGATACGCCGAATCATTTTTTCTACCCCTTCAAGAAGGGCGAGAAGGCGAGGTTCCGTTTTTTGGCGGCGTATACGGTGGTTGCCGGGCAATTTTCCCACATTCGGATCACCTGCTGGGCATCTCCTCTCTCTGGATAAGGTGACCCATGAAACCCCGGTTGCGTGTGTTTAGCTGCGGTATATTGCCTACTGGATCATACAATTGTGGTTATCTGTGTCTGCCCGTGTTCACTTACGAATGGTTTGGCCATGTATATATTCACTGGTGACAATATGTTGAGATGTTAGTGCTCAATCTAAGAATCTTACGGATCTCACAATAAATCAGACTTAAATCAAAGTAATTAGCGACATTATGAAAGCTAAAGGTAAAATGGAGGATACTAAGCATAAACGTCTATATTAATCCTTTGCCCTGAACATAAAGGGTGAGCTGATCACCAAGAACCCTGAGTCCTCACTACGCACCGAGCACCAGTGATATTATAGAGCAAGTGTTGTATATACTTACAACCATGCGATGTTAAAGTGACATACTTTATAATGACAGAAATATGCCTGTATGATAATATATGGGTACCATGAAAGATATATATGACCCCTAAAATGATAAAAAATCTGATATTTTCCCTATCTGTGCGGACAAGCTTGCCAAACAAATTATGCACTTTTGCGTGGAGCATGCCAATATGCGGTCTGGGGGGTTTTCAGTGCCCTATAGTTCCACCATAGGCTTCCATGGTATTCGACATATAATACTGCCATAAATGTGAAAGCTTTGCATGAAATATACCAGTATTCCAATGCGATCTCATATGCTCCGTATAATCTAGGGTGATATCTAGTTTTTATGATTTAATTAGAATATTTTCATAGGACAGAGTGATATCATTTATTTGCATATAATTGAAACAACATGCATAAAATATGCAGAAATCCTGATGCTAGTAGATCCCTATGAGATGTGTGAATCCCACCAGGTTAGACAGTTGTATGCACCACCAGCACCTGCGTATTTTCTACCTTCGTCCTCGGATGTCTTCCTCCGCTTCAGATATTCCAGATGTAGATCCAGCTCGGTCATTCCTCTTCTTCATATGTGCCGACATCTCTAACGCCATGAGAAAAGACCAAGAAGACCTTAATCTCGGTGGGACGCATGTTCGAGGAGCGAAACGGCATTGACTTTTGTCAGGTCGAGCTCTTGAATGTGGTATTTCGCGACTTTGCTGATACGGAAGGGGTCGGTTTCGGTAATCTCAGTCATTTGATCTGCCGATTCTGCGGCTGCAAGGCATACTCCGCCTGTGAACGGGATTTTGCGGGCAAACAGGAGATAGACCTTCCGCTCATATTGCTCCTCTAACCAGGCTACGTGAGCCGGAAAATGCTTCTCTACTTCTTCAAAAGAAGTGAGGTAGGATACAGAGAGCAGAAAAAGCATTTTTAGGTGGTTTGTATTTAGCAAGCGTGCAAAGACCTTAAGTAGATTAACAACGTCAAGGACAGAGTAAGGAGGGTAGATTCTCTATCAAGCTAGGGGCAAGGATAGACAACATTTATGAGCCAAAATATTCAACTTCTCGGTGGAGCACCACACCATCATCCAAATTCCCCACTTTCTATTCCACCACCCCCACCGGCACCCCGGGAACTAGTTTGTTTCTTGTCTGACATGATTCCCGGATTGGGATATACTCCATCTTAATCAACAGGAGACAAGGTCTCTATGAAAATCGGAATCACACTACCCTGGAAACACACTAGGAATCACCGTCGAACAAATCATCCAGGGAGCTTCCACCACCAACACGTTAATCAGTCACACGCCTTAATATCAAGCCTAACGACAAATGAAGTTGTAAAGGAGGCACATGTACTTCAAACTTGGTTCTGTGAGCATCTACGTCTGCGGTAATTGTGTCCAAAATAGAACTTCCGTCAAACAAAATGTTGATGTAATACGGCCTGTCGCAATCTAGTAGTAACTATAGGAGGTCGTTGTAAAAAAAGTAAGTTGTTTAGATGAATCGTTGCCTTATCCATTCTAAATGGGAAGTTGTGTATATAAATGGGCTGCCGACCGTGGGTTTTGGTGGGGTATTACCCGCCAATGGACTCTTGGATTTGGGCCTTGGGCGAGGTCTTTATACAAGGCTAAAGTAGAGATAAGGGAGTAGTATAACGGGTGATTTAGAGGTGTGCACTCAGCAAGTCTCGGCTGTGTTGTGAAAAGACACATATTTTGCTTCTACAGTTATGTCTCGGTCAGAAGATCTAGCAAGCGGCACAGCTCACCAATAACTGCTAAGCACATGTTGCTTAACCCAAACAGACCAACAACCTAAGAACCTATCATAGGCTGTTTAGGCCTCGTTAGCATTATGTTCGTGTATAAGATAGTGGGTAGAGAAAACCTTATGTGGATGGATTTTGGCTCGAGGTATTCCATCAGTCCCGCTCTTCCGGACTCTCGGCCTAAACCACTAGCTTTTACTCCGCCGAAGGGAGTCTCAACCTCGGGGGAGAAATTTTTGTTAACACCAACCGTGCCTGTTTTGAGAAGTGCTGACACACGGAGAGCCCTGGAGATATCTCGCGTGTAGATGGAAGCTTCTAAGGCGTCAGTATATGCATGTTCAGCTTCAGGGAGTAGTTCTTACCCGAAAGGCCAAATTGCGTGTCATTGGCGAGAGATATTGCCTCCCCCTCGGTCTGGAATGTTTTAACCACCAAGACAGGGCCAAATATCTCCTCGGTATACACTTTGCTCCCTCGACTTGGATTTAAGAAAATCGTTGGCTCGACAAAACAACCCTTGTCACCTATGCGATTACCGCCACATAGTAGATCAGCTTGGCTTTTCCCATCTTCAATATAAGTTAAGACCCGATCCATCTGGTCCTTATCCGCAAGAGGGCCGAATAATGTGGAGGAAGACGTCGGATCCCCAACCCTGGTCCGAGCCTCTTCGAAATGGCGTCTTAGACCCTCTATGAAAGCTGGAGCTATGTCCTCCTGGACATAGACTCTGGAAGTTGCTTGCCAATTTGTCAGTTTGTGCTCACCGAGACCAAAGAGCTACACTTACCAACACAAACCTGGCCGGTATTAGCGAGAAACCCGAATGAGCAGCTATCTTTTGAGTCAGCCCAGGCCTTTTAGAGCGCAAAGTAAAGTTGTACGAGATACTCACCAGGATAATGCCGTTGCAATGTGAGCATCATTGAATACTATAGCTGGCGACTTTCCGCCCAATTCCAGGACACACCGCTTGAGGTTGCTTTTAGCCGCAGCTTCTTGGACCCTGCGGCCAGCAGTGACCGATCCCGTGAAGTTAATATGGGCGATGCCCATATCGGAAGCTAGTAGTTTGCCTGTCTCTACCGAGCCCGAGAGGAAGTTTATAACCCCCGGTGGAAAGCCAGCCTTACCGACCAACCGGCCAAGTGCTAGTGCACCAAAAGGGGCTTTCTCGGAGGCTTTGAAGATGCACTATTGGCAAAAGTTAGACAGGCAGTTGAGTGCGGTGTGCAAGAGCTTTTACCGTATTCCCAGCAGCGAGTGCGGGTCCCAATTTCAAGGCCACGTACCTAATTAACACAATGAGCAATGGCCGACGCCCATCGAGATGTACACCTACAGAAAGGTGGCATTGAACGAAGCTAGGGAAGCGCAAACACCCAAAGGCTCATAAGTCACGATCTTGTAAACACCATCCTCTGCCGGATACGACTCCCCAGAAATGTTGACTGCATAGCTGGCATAATCTGGGCCGCGTAAGCACTATAATTGCCTTTTCATTGGAGCAGGATTGACTCACAACGGAGGTACTTCGTGACTAGAGGCATCATAAATTCCATGCCAGCCTTGGGAACCCCCATAGCTATGGTCTCTAATTGAAGAAGGGACTCTGCATCGTCGTCGATGAGGTCTGCTAGGCGGAACAAACATTTTGCCCTCTGTTGGCCGGTGAAGCTTCTCCAAGGACCAGTCTGGAATGCGATATTGGCTGCTGCAACAGCAGCACTGACGTCCTCTTCGCCGGCAACTTGGAGGTTGGTGGTAATTGTTGAGCCATCTGTCGGGTTACAGACAGCCAACGTCGCCCCGGAGCGAGAGCGGACATACTGTGAAAGTCAATATATGCCAGAGGACTCTAGGTATTATAGAACCCGTAGATTGGAAATATGTTACCTGGTTGTTAATAAACAATCTCGTTTCGATTTGCGACATGTTCAGCGTAGTAGTATAAATGCACGCTTCCTTGGATGTAGATGAGACAAAGTAAACACACCCGAAATATGCTCTCACAGAAATATTAAACAATACGCCTGAAAGGACCAGAGCTGTCTTATCAAGGCACTTGTAGGCTGTACCATACGTATTAAGTGGAGCCCCACTTAAAGTCTGTTCCACGGGGTATCAAGGCATAGCACAAGATGGTGACGCCGTCGCGTATTGTGAGAGCCTTGGTATACGCCCTGAAACCACCCTTCTCATGTGGGGCCCCGCCGATGGCTCTCATGTGCCTTTCAGAGCTGCCACGTCCTATCTAACTATATAGTAGACGAGCTTCCCATCCTCCTTGCATCTGTACACACTGTACAAAGCACTGTCGCAATCCAGACTAACATTTTCTTCTCCATCTTTGTTCACCAAGGATTGAAGCGCTCAAAGTTGCCACTCGCAAATATGGCTTTACCTTTTCCCGACATCCCTTGGTTGCAAGGCTTTGAAAAGCCTTGTCGTTTTGAAGGGGAAGTACGCAACCTCATTGTCCATGGAGAGGTCCCAAAAGAATTGGATGGGACCTTCTTCCGTGTGATGCCCGACCCCCATATCTCGCCGTCTTACCACGAGAACGGTACGCAATATATACCATTCGATGGCGACGGCAATGTCAGTGCTTTCAAAATCAAAGATGGCCATGTTGATTTCAGGCAGCAATATGTTAAGACGGAGAGACTTGTCAAAGAGAGGGAAGCACGGCAGTCTTTGTGGGGTCGATATCAGAATCCTTATACAAGTCACCCTTGCGTCAGGGCTGCGATTGAGAGCACGGCGAACACCAATGTTATCTATTATCATGGGAATCTGCTTGCCTTGAAAGAGTATACGCTTCCATACTCTCTCGACCCAGTGACCCTAGAAACGCGAGGGTACTGGAATTTCGACGGTCAAATCTCCTCTAGATCATTCACCGCCCATCCGAAAGTCGACCCTAAGAGCAAAGAGCTTGTATGCTGGGGCACGCAAGCCAAGGGATCCGGCACAACGGATTGCTGTTACTTTGCCCTTGGCCCAGATGGCAAGAAGACTGAGGAGTGCTGGTTCCAGAATCCCTTTTGCGGCTTTCTGCACGACGCCGGAGTGTCTGAAGACTACGTCGCTTTGATGCTTGTCCCGATGCGTGTTGACATTGAGGAGATGAAAAAAGGTGGTTCGCACTATTCGTACGACCATGATCTGGATCTTCACTGGGGTCTAGTACCTCGACGGGGCTCGGATGCCACGAAGGTCAGATGGTTTACTTGGAAAAACAGTTTTCCAACTCATACCGCGAACGCTTACCAGGAAGTTGGGCCCGATGGAGAAATAGAAAAGGTCTTCGTCGAGACTGTACTTGCCCATGGGAACGTGCTGCCTTTCTTTCCCGAGGAAAATCGAAAGGACAATTCACCAACAATCAGTAACATTAAGATTCAGTTGGTGCGGTTTTGCTTTGACCTGAAAGCCGAAGTGCCTACGGATGGAACGTACCAGCGACTATCTGATCCCGAAGTGCTCTTGGACATCCCTTGCGAGTTCCCACGCATAGACGATCGATTCACGACTCAAAAACAAAAGTTCATCTTCTGTGCTACTAACCAGGCGAGTGAGGAATCGAACTCAAAGACCCTGGTGGGTTCTGCCGGCCTGAATGCTTATACGATGGTCGATCTATCCCTCGGGAAAGTAGAGCACTGTCTTTTTGGACCCAATTCTTTAGTTCAAGAACCCTGCTTTGCTCCAAGATCAGCAGATTCGCCGGAAGGAGATGGCTTCTTGATTGGCTTAGTGAATCGTCTGGATACCATGTTGACGGAGTTGGTGGTAATTGACACCAAGAATTTCTCCAAGCCAGTAGCCGTGGTCGAAATTGGGCTTCGACTGCGGCAAGGTTTGCACGGTAACTGGGTTGATGCATCCGAGATGGAGTAGATGGAACTGTTGGGACTGAGCATCTGCCTCGATACCTTGTTTGTTAAGTTACCACTAGCTGTCAGTCAGTGCTGTATCGTAAAATAGGGGGTCCAATCAATGATGTTCAACTTTCTGTGTTTCTGTATTGACTTTCCTTGTTGTTCTAACTGACAGAAATCTGGTGTAGGAACGATGTATGGTATGGATGACCAATGTTGAGAACTCCAACTAAAATGACAAAAACCCACTATTTCAACAATCTGTGCGGTAATGATAACTAAACGTTGAGATCACAAGCCGGCCACTACTCCGGGATTTTACCCATTAAGCCAAAAGGGCATAGCCAAACTGAGTTATGGAACTCAGTTCAACTACAGTGGTATATATGTATAGGTGTCCACATACTGTGGGATTACAAACGTATCATAGCTATGGTATGCCTAGTAGTCGAAGTAATATGATAATTGAGGTATAATAGTTACTCTGTTCTAACCATATACTCGACTTCGCATTTGATACAACCCCTTAGCTTTTAAAGCTTGTATTTTCCTGGCTTTAAGAGCTGCCAATTCCTTTATTTCTGCAATTACTTCAAATAGCCTCTATTTCGTATTTTAGACAACTTATCTCTTTTATCCCAATCAGCTCTTTAAAGAGATACTATTTCTACTTAGGAAGCGCTTTTATAACGCTATCTATTGGTATCACTATGGTTAGAACCTAGTCTATATTAACTCGACCCTCGCCAACCTCTTACTTTATCTAGTATCGATTTATATGTATATGTCGGAGCTTTGCATACATTGCCGCCCCATCTTTCGTTGACAAATCGACAGTTTGCTAGTTATCGTATATAATAAATAACGGGCGATCTAGTTAGAAGCCTAATATAATACGGACTCGGCGCTACTATTATATAGTTTTACCTATTTCTACTAATATAAGAAGCTTTACCTCGGTAGTCAACGTTATTACTATCTTTTACTTCATCGCTTTCTAGTCAATCGGAGCTAGGGACTAGAGAGATCGACTCTGAACATCTTGCAAACGGCTTGGCATTACCTCTATGATCAGTGCCAGACCACGCGAAGTTTATTAACTTTCACAGATTAGAACATAATGGTTATACAACTTAAACGAATAGTTAGAACTAGACGATAGTTTGATTTGTTTAAAAGAAACGTTGGTGAAGGTATTCGTTCAAGTTGTGTCTTTTCCCCTTGTGGACCATGTTAGGTCTTAGTGTCGAATACCAAGTCCGAATACATGGTAGAAACCAGGTAATATACCGGAAACATCATGTGACATTGGGTACCAGGCATACCATACAAAAGTGCATATAACAGTTAGTCATCATTGTCCGCACACATTGTTGAAATAGCGGGTTTTGTCATTTTAGTTAGTTGTCAACATTGGTCATTTATACCATACATTGTTCGTACACCAGCTTTCCGTCACTTAGTTTTAATTGTAAGTGAGAGGTTTGGATATCAGTTTATGGCACGCTTCCCAGCTCGCTTAACGATTAATTTACTGCCAACCTATAGTTGATAACGTGTCCGGAAAGCGATTGGTGCTTTGACTGTACATTGTACAGCCCCCGTGCCATTTGCAGATCACATTCCCCATTAGCTACTTCCCCACCTTATGGGGGCTAGCTGAGACTGGAAGCTTCAAATATTCCTGCAAAGCACCCTACTTCAGAGGCTGTGTTTCTCCAAGCCAAGCCAGGACTATGGAAGTGTTTATTGTTACGGGCAGCCCCTTCCAGTCATGATAAACTTCTTCATCGACGCCGTTTTAATCTGACGAAGTTGACGATGACACCAAAATTGAACGGCCAATCTCGTTCGGAAAATGATAACCGGTGCAATGAAGAGAGGAGCATCACTCCGATAATCGATCAACACTCGACCGATCACCCTGATTTCGAATTTGATGATCCTAGATGTATCAGTCTTGCAACCATCAACAACCAGTCGAACGGGAGCCTCGCTTCTGTCGACCACTCTTCACTGCCCGGTAAGGTGCACGAGAAACGCAACAGGCATGTATCAGAAAGAATTAAGGAAATTGACTGGTCCGGATCCTGGGCATGGGAAATCGGAGGTGCCACTCTCAGTTTTATTTGCCTCGGCCTCTTAATGGGATTCCTAAGATATGTGGGCGGGATGTCCTATGCTAAATGGCAATATTCTGTCTCACCAAACGCAGTGATCTCTGTAATAACCACTTGCATGAAGGCCTCAATGTTGGTACCGCTGTCAGCCTGCCTTGGCCAGTTGAAGTGGAAGCAGCACGCAGGGGAAAAATTAACACCATTGTATTCTTTCCACGTCCTAGACCAGGCTAGCCGCGGTCCTTGGGGCGCAATGGAGGTATTCTGGAGAATCCGGTCGGGATTGGCGATTGCGGGTGCATTGCTGATGGTTTTATCAGTCGCTATTGATCCCTTCTCCCAGCAAATTCTCGTCTTTCCATCGCGCGATGTGCGGGCGGCTGATGTGACCGCGTCTGTGCAAAGGGCCTTGGAATATCGACCGGTGTGGAACATACCAACAAGTGACTGGGGCGTCTTGGATCCCACCATGCAGAGTGCACTCTTGAACGGACTGGCGAGAATCAACAGTCCCCTTGACCCAGTGTGCCCCTCAGCCAGCTGCACTTATCCCGACTTTGCCAGCCTGGGGATCTGTAGTAAGTGCGAAGATATCACAAAAGATGCCATCCAGACATGCAAACCAATCGCGGAGAATTCCTCCTTCTGGGATAGGAGTGCAAGACAGTCGCGTGGGCCCTTTTTATCGACCCCGTTCAACTGCTCTTACTCCTTCCCCCACGGGTTTACGTTCACGCCTTTCATCACCAACATGGTTCTTTCATCCAACAACGAGCTCTACGTAGCACGTCAACCATTCAGCTCAATCACAAATATTCGCCGACAAACCAGGTTTTCAAACCAGACGTCGTGGTTTCATTTTTTAGCGCTAAATTCTCCCGCGACCTCACCTACACCGCTAGCAATGCTAGCGCAGTGGATAAGATTCCCACAATGACCAACTGCACTGTGTTTTTGTGCGAGAAGCAATACCCTAAGAGCCGTGGTACCATCCATAGCAATACCGTGGAGCCATTACGAATCCAACCTCTCCCGGTTAGGAACGTAACAGAGTGCATCCAAAGTGAAACCTGTCTCCTTGCTCCTGCGCACGGTGCCAAACCATTCTCCACCAACTCCACCTACATCATCGAATACAATACACTCACCCATCTCCGGAGCTTGATGAACATGTTGTTCAATACGAGCCTCACTCAAACGGACGGAACACTTCAGCCGGGTATTCAGTCGTCCTCCTTCCTCTTTAGTAGTGACAATATCACACAGTCGATGGAATCCATGGCCACTAGCATGACGGACCATATCCGGTTAAGTGACGAGAGCTCTGCAGTGCGTGGGTGGGCTTATCGAGTTGAGACGTATATTCATGTTCGCTGGCCTTGGGTGATTCTTCCTGGAATAACGGTAATTTTATCAATCCTGCTATTTATCGCTATGGCGTGGGAAACACGAGGCCATGCTATCCTGTGGAAATCCTCTGTGTTTCCACTCCTTCTCGGACGGCTGCGGGTCTCCCCAGACCATGACTTCTCGATTACGCGTCCACTGGGCAAGTTGAACGCTGATTCGCAGAAGATCAAGGTAATTTTGGAGGAGGAGCAGGGGAATCTTCTTTTTACTGAACGAGAGTGATCGAGGTGGTTGATTCCAGAAACTAGATAAGGATTAGTCTGCGTTCTACAAACTTGATAAGGTGACTCATACTTTGAAAATCAGCGATGGCCCTTATTCAATAGGTGAAACTCTGATTAGTTCCAAATAAAAAGGCGCGAGGAAGGTTTCTAAATCTTAATATACGCCCTTGTAGGCGGGTGTGCGCCGGATCGCAAATGGTATATCAATCATACTTAGAGTGCTGTTTAGGTGTTAGGAACACACTGAGACCTGCCGTATAGAGACAGTATGTGGTAATAAAAAAAATATTAAAAAAACATACAACAGCATGTCTAAGGCCGTGGTCTCTTAGCTCCCACGGTTAGGGCATGGGCGGCTCGCCGCTCTATCCAGCGCACTCAGGGTGGATATTCACCCACCTGAATATTCAGTCCGTACAGCAAAAGGTATATTTCCCATCAGGCGGTATCAACTGTCATCGAAGGACCATGCCAGTCAAAGACGTACGAAATCCGGTTGGACACAATACTTCGGGCTAAGCCAGTAGCTGTATAGGTTGGCAGGGTCTCGACATCGCTCACCACCATGGTGGACCAGTCATCGCACATCATACCAATATAGACAGCCGTGGACGATCCACGGGGGTTCTCCATGGGCAGACCCGTAGTGCAAAGGGAGTCATACACAATCTCTAGAAGTAGACGCTGCTGCGGATCAACGGCATCGCTCTCCATCGGCTGTATATTGAAGAACTGCACACCAAACTGAGCGATGTTCTCCTCAAGAAAGTAGGACTTGGTGACGTTTGTGGTGCCATGATGGGTTGCCTCGGGGTGGTAGAAATGATCAACATTGAAACGATCCAGAGGAACCTTCTTGGAAATGCCACTAGGGTTTCTCAACAGCTCCCAGAGTTTGCTGGGGCTATCGCACCCGCCTGGAAAGCGACAGACGGTTCCGATGATTGCAATTGGTTCAGGCATAGTGGGCCTGCAGGCTTTTATATCGATTCATGTTGAAGAAACCGAGGAGCTATAAGAATATAAGATAATTGTTGAGGTATTTAATTGAAATTGGGGGAAATGTATTCATTAAATACGCTTTTTCATTGTCTTCGTGGTATAATTGTCGTCTCGTTGAGGCTTGGACTGGTCTGGGCCCATATCAGCTAACCTGATATCCCACCGAAAAGTTCCGGACGCAACATGCCGAACTCCACACTTTGCACGGATTCTCTAGGCTGGATCCTGCGGAAATTCGGTTCCAAAGTACTATTTTCTATTGAGTGGCGCGTCTGGAGAGGATAGGAGTTGTAACAAACCTTTTGCCATTGCCATGCGAGGTTCGGATCCATCATCATTGCTGAGCTTGGAAACATCTGACTGGACGCCATGAAAGGAAATCCATAATGAAAATTCTCTTCCAGACCGTTGCCATTGAGCCCTCCAGCGGGAAAGGGCATAGGCAGGGCTGAGCTACCATAAGCAAGGACACGGGAAGAGAGTGAGACGGCCAACTGACCTGAATTTAGGGCGAAATCATTGTTCATAGTCTGACCCTCTGCGCCCACATCAGAATCACCTGATTGTTGAGCAAGAACAATGCTGAGAGTATCTGCTGCTGTCTTTGCTTCCATCGATAAATTCCTTAACCTCATCCAGATACCATGCGCCCTTGTTAGCGCTGCTATGATTTGGTCCAAGTTGTGGCCATCAGTTAGAGCATCTGGCTGTCGTGCGAGAAAGCATAGCAGCATCGTGGCTGTCAGAAACTCATGCTTCATGATGGAGGAATCTCTCCATCGCATTGTATAAAGCTGGCCATCTGGGCTGGTTTCCTCGTCGCATATATGCTGAATCTCCAAAATACCCAAGGCTGCCTTTATGCAAGAGCTACGTGAGTAGGAGTATGATGTGTGGTCCTCGGAAAATGTGGTTAGGTCCGGGTTTAAGTACTTGCAGTGTAGCATAATCTGACCCTTGTGAAACATCAGTCTAAGAAAGAGCCGATGCATAATCACATGCGGGGGATCGGTCACCGCCCCAGCCATGGCCTTCATGCGGAGATAGGCAGGCACCGTGGCCTCCGCATCATTCAGAATTCGATCTAGTCGCATTACCTCGTTATAGGTCACCGATCGCACCGATGCGGTGAAATCGACGATCACACCCAAGGCGCCAAAGATACGTCGTCGAGCGATCAGGTACGAAACCGTAGTGATCTCCGTCTCCGGTCTTGACAGGGGAAGCTTGGAGCAGTCCTCATCGAAGTCCGAGTCATTCAGATTACGGGGCTCTACTGTGTCACATTGCCAATCCTTGATCATGCGTGGCATACCCATTTGGGTCGAAATCAAGATATCTCCCTGTAGAATGGTGGCCCAGGCCCGCCGTCTCATCTCTCCTGCAAATGGAGAGACCCCTGGCAAGTGCGACGGATCCCGGTGGTAGCCCATACGTAGAGCTATATTGACTGAAATTGCCGAAAGGATCCAGATGTCCTGGTCAGCATCCTTGCGGATGGAATACTCGATGGTCAAGTAATGGTATAGGGTTTCAAACACGTAACGCCCTGATTTGGTGTACTCGCCCAGAATGAGGCACTGTACTATCTTTTCGCGGTATGTATCCACCAACGGATTTCGGAACCCCGGAGATGAGCTGGAGTCTGCCGCACTAGAAGCCAGCACTGCGAGACATATCATAGAAAAGAGGAGACCGAGCCACATGACCGAGGCCTGGGATGGATTCTCCCAGAACCGTTCATACTACATTCATTATTGTTAGCACCACAGTCTACTCGTGTTATTTGGCGAAGTCGTTCGCATACCTCTCGTGAAAATTGACCACTGTGTAGGCAGTCTGAAGCATACGATGCTTTGTATTAGCCAGTACTCCGATATTGCAGATCAGGGGCTTACATGGCGCCAAGTCCAACCGATTGAAGTACTGGGATATATAACGATCGACGACGGGTCGATCGGGCAGAGCTGCCAAGATATCTTCTTTACTTGCTGATTTACATCCATACAGCAGAAAAGTATGCAGCATAGCAGGTTTTTCCATGTTCCGGTGGTCTTCCCGTTCGAGCTGCTCCTTGAGGTCGGCGATCCCATCCAGGATGGTAGCCCAATGGGTTCCTCCGACGTACTGGGCATCTGAAGAGCTAAACCATACATTTCCACCGTCGGACTGAGCTGGAGAGACTTCGGAATTGGTGGCTCCTTCTGGTGAGCCCTCTTCGGGGCGATCTTGGGGAATCGACGCGCCTAGATGCTGGCCCGGCCGGTCTTGGCCATCTGAAGTGGTCTTCTGCATCAGCGAAACAACGATCTGCTCCAACTGGCCCAAACGGTCTTGAACGGTTGCTTGGGGGCAACCCCTGTAGGTCTCATGTGGCCCAGGCGCCCGTCGGCGCTGGGCTGGGGCTTGATTGTTGGGATAGGCACACGAGAGCGCCAATCCACGAGCGGTGCATGTCGAACAGGGCTCCTTGCGATCGCATCGGAGCCTATCGGAGAATTTAGTCAGATTTGATTGGGAGAGTTGAAGATCTTTGGTACTTACTTCCTCCGACGACATAGATTACAGGAGAGCTGGGGTTTGCTCCGACGATTGATGGAAGCTGGTTGGAGGCTGGGTTCGTCCGCGGGCGGAGAATCCATCGTGGCTGTCAGGGATATGTAGGTGCACGTTTTCAGCTATATGGACTGTGTGATAATAGATCCGATATACTAAATCAGAGCACTTGTCTAGCAGACAGGTCATGTGGACTAAACGAGGTTCTCCATCATGCGTGGGGTGGGGTGAGTGGGGTATGTTTTCGCCGTAGAGCACGCTTGTATCGCCACATAGACGATGGAAACATAGGCAGAACCAATAGATAGAGATTTCAGGGGCAGTGAACCTCCATTAGTACGAAGAATGGTGGTATATGGAGATCTAGTCGGATTGTCTGATGTGATTGATCGGAAGTAAACGCTCATCCGCTATACGCTAACTTGACTAGGCAAGGCGCGGGGTAATGCGGGAAGGATCCGTGGATCAACAGCTCTCTAACCAATCGGATGAACATGTTCCTCCGTACATTCATGCGTCTTCTCATCCGCTCCAGCTTCTCCTTTGACTCCTCCATCCAATATTCCTCTATCGTTTTGATCCATCTACGACTCCCCAACCTCCGTCTGTTCATCCTCTCCGTTTCTCGATCGGCTGTCATCAGAGCAACCAAGTTGAGCAGCCATGAACCCTGCGAACCGTGGCCCTGGCTTCAAGCCAGTCGGCTCGGCCATTACAACACGGAGGAAGCGACGTGTAATTAAGTCCGCGGTGGACAATAATTCCCAGTAAAACCTATCATCTACCTCCTTTTGCGACCGGAGGGGGAATTGGGCATTCTCTATCAGTACAAAGGCACAAGGCTCTTCCTTAGACCACAATTCCTCTTCGTTCAACCATCGAGTGCAGCCCGCAGAATGACGAAGCTCTCTACCAATGACGAGACCGAAGTCAACCTCACGACAGATGAGGAGGCAGCCAAGCCGCCGACGCATAAATTTGAGGACGATGTGGTTGACTGGGACGACCCACATGACCCCAAGAACCCCCTCAACTGGTCTGGCACCAAGAGTTTTGGTCATGTCGTGATTGTCGCCGTCTTGTCGATGGTTGTGTAAGTGAGCCGCCATGAGGGACAAAGCAACCGGCCATGCTAACCCAAGCTACTAGCAACATCGCCTCGACCATGGTCGCTCCGGCGATGGAAGGCGTCTCCAGGGACCTGGAGATCACTAACATGACCCTGGCAACCTTGGCCGTCAGTATCTACCTGCTGGGATTTGCATTGGGCCCCCTTGTCATCTCCTCGCTCTCCGAGATGTACGGGCGCCTCATCGTCTATCACATATGCAATACCATCTTTGTCATTTTCGTTGTGGCCTGCGCCCTAAGTAAGACTTCCGCTCAATTTATGGTCTTCCGCTTCATAACTGGCTGCGTGGGAGCGGCGCCACTTTCCCTTGGCGGCGGAACGATCGCCGATGTTATCCCGATCGAGAAGCGCGGTGCGGCAGCGGCCTTGTTTGGCCTGGGTCCCCTTTTGGGACCGGTATGTAACTCCAATCCACTACCCAATTATACTATACTAACCGATGTAGGTTCTAGGACCAGTAATTGGGGGCTTCGTTGCTGAAGGAAAGAACTGGCGATGGACCTTTTGGGTGGTCGCGATTCTCGTGAGTGATCTTGCTCCCAGCTGATATCCACAATTCTAACACTAACAGGGAGGAGCAGCGGGTATCGGCGCGTTCATCTTCATGCGCGAAACACATCCCAATACCCTGTTGGAACGCAAGGCCGTATACTTGCGACGCGCAACCGGGAACCCGCACCTCCGATCGAAACTCGATCGCGGCCTCACAAAGCAGCAGATTATTGTCGCCGCCCTCGTACGCCCCACCAAACTCTTGATATTCTCGCCGATCGTCCTCGTCTTGTCCATCTACGTGGCTCTGATCTTCGGCCTTCTATACCTCCTCTTTGCCACCTTCAGCATGGTCTTCGAGGGCCAGTATAGATTCAGCATCGGCATTTCTGGTCTGGCCTACCTGGGACTAGGTCTTGGCGAATTGTTGGGTTTACTCACATTTGGCATCCTGAGCGACCGGCTCTTGAAGGCGAAAATGGCAGCGGGCAATGTCCAGGAGTCTAAGCCCGAGTACCGACTAGTCCTGATGATGTGGTTTCCGCCAGTCATTGGACCTGGGTTGTTCATTTACGGTTGGTCCGCATATTACCAGGTGCATTGGATGGTTCCGATCTTTGGAACGTTCATTGTCGGGTTTGGAGCCTTCTTCGTGGTCATGCCCTCCCAGCTATACCTGGTGGATCTGTTCGGGTCGGATGGGGCGGCATCTGCGCTAGGCGCTAACATTCTCCTCCGCTCGATGTTCGGGGCCTTCTTGCCCCTTGCTGGGTCGCATATGTATTCGACGCTCAACTACGGATGGGGTAATACGCTGTTAGGATTCCTGGCACTGGCATTTGCGCCCGTGCCAATGTTGTTCTATCGCTATGGAGAATGGCTGCGGAGTCGGACGACAGTCACGCTGTGAATGTTTTGCAATATATTTATAGGTAATTATTATCTATAGATGTGGCTAAACTATAGCTAATAACACGATTTGCTTTTTTGCTCATATCAAGATGAAATACTTACTCGTTATTGTAGACACGAAGTACATAACCCGATCCATGCTCCAGGCTAAAAGTGACTTAAGGCTCGTTTTGGAAGGAGTAATCTCCCAGGACTAGCGTTCTGCAGCCAAGTGGGTGGTGGACAAAACACGAGGGGCGCTGTACATTCGTCCGATACCTACTGGCTCTCAGTACGAAGTGCGGAGTATGAGAGTCATTACGCGCTGGGAGGTGGGATCTCGAATTAAGCTGTCGGAATCCGTCCGCCGCGTCGTTGCCAAGGCTCTGTACAATATCATTGCCCCTGTCAGACCACCTTGCACGTTTACACATGGTCTGCAGTCGGCGCATGGCATGACAACTCTCCCTGCTCGTGGGCTTTACTTGTCAGCCTTATTGGCCCGAATACCACGCAACCAGATGGTTATACCCGTGTGGGCCAGGGGTATCTCGTGTAAGATCCTACCAGTAGGCCCAGTTCTATGCGGTCGGATGCTAGATCCGCTCTTATCTGGGGCCCAAGGCTGTCGTCCACTTTCAATCCAAACTTATATAGACATGGACCGGGTCTGCTCCACCAATGCCCAAAATCCTTGGTTTTCAGTCAATGCCAAAATTTGCCAAGTCTCAAATCATAAACTGCTCCATCACATCTGAACGACGATCAGAGCAGCCAAGCATTGGCATTGTGCGCTGTCCAGCCTTACCAGCCCTACGGTCAGAATGTCAGTCTCCACCAAGCCCGCCGCGCAGTCGTATCGCACATCATGCGATCGATGTCGACTGCAGAAAGTGCGGTGCGTGCCATTGTCTGACGGCGACTGGCTGAACGTGTGTCAACGGTGCACGTGTGCCCGGGTGCCTTGTGTGTTCAGTCGATGAGCTCGCAGTGGGCGACAGCCCAAGAAGCTTGACAGGACGGAAGAGATTCCCCACACGTACTCATCGAGATCAAACGCATCGACGTCGCCATTGGAATTTCTCAGCTTTCCTGTGCCGCGGGACGATCCTTTACCGTCGATCGTGGCCGATCCGCACGACCTGGCCGATCCACCGCTAGACCCAATACTGGCTGAGATATTATTCCACACGCCGGGAGACAACACAGTCATACCCGTTCATATGCCATTGCCTGTTCGAAGGGTAGAATGGTGGTGTTCTCCCTAGTCGCTGAGCCCAGAGCTCGATCTTACAAAATCAATCAACCCATACTTTAACCAAGCCGAGACAAACCACACAAGAGACATACTCAACATACAAAACACAAACAGCATAATCCCCGACAACCTAAACCCCTCAGACCAAACCCCATCCACCCAAGTCCACGGCCTCTCCTCGATCATCGTCGCAATGACAAACTACACAGGCGATCTTCACCGGTACCGCGTAGCAAATTTAGACACAAAGCACAGCAGCAACATATACGACTATCCGATTGGTGGAGCAACCTACCTCGCCCACTGGTTCCGAGAAATAGTATCTCGACAGACATGGACGGGAACCGAATTTCTCAACCTTAACCCCAGTAGCGATGACCCTGTGGACACTCCCACCCTTCTGATTATGATATCATGCTACATGTCGCTAGTAAATATCTACGACACAGTTTTCTACGACCTACTCCAGCTACTAGCTATTCTACCAGACTTGACATCGTCAACATCATCCCGGGCTGAGCTACGATGGGACCTGCGACTGGGTGACCTGCCTCTAACGAATGAGGGGTGCGTGCGGATTCTTAATGCCGTGCAGATATTGCTGGATGCTATTGAAAATGATCTAGGTATGTGACTGGCATTTTTGCAATATACTACTTGTAGCTAACAGCTTTATAGAACATGTTCAAAACTCCAATGACAGCATTGTAGAGTCGTTGTTTAGAAAAATTGTCAGCGCTGGCGCGGTAACGGAAGGAGGGCTAAGTAGGGGGCTAAGGGCGAAGGTTGAAGAACTGCAAGGGTTTTAAGGCAAAATCTGAATTTGTAGAGGGAAACATATATCTTTAGATATAATGGAATAAATACAATGCACCTACGAGATCTCATGACTTGGGGTGCGGTCAAACTATATAATCGATATAAAATAGGCGCCAAGGTGTTGAAGACAGATCTTTTTTCCGGTCGCTCTTCAACATCACTCCCCGAGGATTATTGCCAACCCATCAATGACAGGAATTAAGACAGATAGTAGTGATTAGGTATTCATTACGGACAGGAATAGTTGGCCGCTCATACAGCCTTGTAATATATTTTCAGTAGTCTTCTCAGATATGCTGTGTAGATGTCCTTTTTGAGGTGTTTTCTCCCCCTTCTCAGTTTTATAGGTAGGTAAACGGCAGAAATAAAGAAGAGGCTTAATTTGTGAAAACGGGTTTTCCATATATAACCTGTGATTACTGATGGGAAGGAAAGTCCGTTTATCCGCTCAGTCAGAGTCTCCTATTAGGGCAAGTTATATCCCTGCTTGGTGATAGGTTCCAACCGTTCGTACTCCCGACCTAGCCTCGCGTGCTTTTCGAGAATACTGTTGATATCCTCACCGAGCTGATGCCCATTGATCTCATACTGCGTCTGGATCCTCATTGCTGTGGTGCGCAGCGAGGTTGGGGGCTGGTTCAAGATCCGCGTGTGCTGAAAGCCCCGCCCCTGTGTATCGACTTGCCGAAGTCTTACTGGAACACACCACCCTCGCCGCCACGAGAAGCACAGACTACAATGTCGCTCAGATGAATATCATGCTTCTCACTTGGTACACCGCCACTAATACAGACCATGAGACCAATTCTGACGTTGGGGAAGCTGTTCAGCATGTCTGTTGCTACGCAGGCTGCAGAAACTGTTCCATATTCGCTATCCGGCAAAACGGCGATGTCGACGTTATGTTTACCAATCTTTCCCAATTTATAGTGGTTGGTATCATTTGGCGACACAAAAATCGATCCTTCATGCTTTTTATCAAGAAACTCTTGTGCAGCAACATATTCAGTGGCTATGGCACAAATATAGCCTACGACGTATACCGACGTGTTGAGGAAAAGGACGAAACGAGATATCGAATTTTCTCGTTTGTAGGAGAGGAGAACTTCAATACTTACGAGAATTCACATTCGAAAATGACCCCGTGAGCCCTACCGAAAATTATTTCACGAGGGGCTGTCTGCAGATGCTAAGAGTCTAGCCGTTTTATATGTGGCCCAATGTTGTTCTACTCTCGTTTAGCTAGGAAGGTTAGTGCGACAGTTATGCTATCATTCTAACCCAGTTCTCTCCCTTATTATCACTTCTGTCTATTGCACACTTACCCTTCTCACCCCCTGTCGTACAATGTCAAAATGGCTCTCATCCATTTCTTACCCGGGAGGCACCTACCCTACTACTGGCCGTATATAAGCTACACGCTAGTGGGTTAGTAGTGGGGTGGGTGACTGCTTGCGAATTTATATTCAATAAGAAGTTTGATTCTCCTAGGCGGTCCCCCTTCTTTTTTTCCCCTTTCTTCCTACTGTCTTTTGAGTCCTAGGAGGACATGTGTCAACCGGGAGAAACTAGTACCAGAGGCGTGCAGGACATTCAGGTGAATAGGCTGAACGGACTGAAGAGTAGGGCGGCAAGAGGGACTTTTAAGAATTGCAAAAAGAAAAATATACAACAGCATGTCTAAGGTCGTGGTCACCTAGCGCCCACGGTTCGGGCATGAGCGGCTCGCCGCTCTAATTCAGCCCTCCTCAGATACAACCCTCGAAAAATCAGAAACAACCTGACGCGAAGGTTCGAAAATGGGATAAAAGTGTTGACGGAAGAGGTTAAATAAGCCATTCGGAATCTCCAAAGCATGAAAATACCAAAAGCTTCCGGTTTTCCAACCATCTCTTATAAGAGTGGTCCTATAAGAATAGACACTGTTGATAGGAGGAAAACGTTTTTCCTCCTCGAAAATATCCACGAATTCTTTATATACCTCCCTAAAGGCTTCGAGATGCTCTCCTGTTAGGTCATCGACTGAACGACCTGTCAACTAGTATAGAGGACGGAAAGTCTCCGCTGGTAGTGAATAGGCCCAATCTAGATCAATCACAAACTTGACGTTCCATTTGCTATCAACGAAGATATTACTAAAATGGAGATCTATAAGCCTATTAAAAAAGGCCCCTCTCGGTGTTCTCTATTAGAGAACTGCGGTAGGAGGGCTTTCATCATCGTCAATCTTGTCATCTAAACCCGGCCATCATCCTTATCGCTGATAGAGTGTAGCTGGTTTAGTATTCGACTATCATGATAAGACAGAAGATCAAGATAGTATACGTCGGCTGCCGAAAAAGTTAAATTTCGAATGTTGGTCAGAATCCCCCCGTTTTCTAATTGATAGAATCGAAGAGTAAGAGGACGATTAGAAAGTCGCAAAGCACCATTCGAGTCTAAGTTCTAAGTTCCTATGCGAGGTAGTGGCACTCGACTTTAAGAAAGCATTATACGAGAAAGTCCCTTGAAAAGGTTCATTCTCTTATCCTAGTGATGATGGTGTTAATCCAAAGTCTCTAAGAGCATTTGTACATCTGAGTTGCCAATATAATCCTTAACCAAGTACCCACTTTCGAGCATAGTCGAACGTTGATGGCAAATATAGGGACAGGGTAGGGTACATCCCAAGAGCCACGTAATAGATCTTTTGATTGACCAAAAAATCTAGGCCCCAAAGGGGCATTCTACGGTTTCGTAAACTGTAGAAACCACACGTTAGACTTCATATAATCAAGACGATATCAATTGAGCTGCCATACACTTTGGCCACCAACAAGTCCAAACCCCCATAATTGTGGAATAAGTATTTCCGGACAATTCTCATGTATCCAGATAAATGTTGCAGCTTCGCAGCGAAGTTTTTCGTCCACATTGCCGGAATTTCTAGATTCTCCAACTTTGTATGGTAACGGGAACCATCGATAAAGACAAAGGACAAAGATTCTCTTGGGTTTGTCGTGCTGTCTCCACTGCTGTCAGGGGACCCATGCTTTGGCTAAATATGCGAAGCTTTGCCGGATAAAGTTGAGTAGGTTCGAATATATTTCCAACGCTATAATATAGAATTTGAGAAGACAATCAGTATCCATGAGCGTGGTGGCCCCTGCGTAGATTTCTGCCAAAAGGCGAGAAAAGAATCTACACAGCCCGTTGTAGAGCTCTGTAGTGAATCTGCCTCAGGAGCTACTCCCAGAATTTATAGGTAGAGGACAGAAAATGGAAAGACACTGCGGGTGCTTGTACATGGTTGACAGCGAACTCAGAGTTAGGGCTTCTTCTCAAACCTAAACCGACGTAGTGGATATGCGGACTGTCTGGAGAAGTGAAATACTGGCTGCTTTCTGTAATCCCCAGCCATTCTCTAGCGCTTGTCGCCCCGCTATTCTATCTATGCCATCGGTAGCGCATATCCCTGCTTTCCTTGCTTGTGACGCGTGATTCCGGTATTGCTGTTGGAAATGTGTTCCACAAAGTCAGGAGTTAGTAATTTTCCGAATACTCACAGACTATAAATGCCCACATCTGTTATACATATCTTCCGCAAGTACCCTCACGAGACGTGATTATAGACATAATTTGTTCAATTTGTACAGCAGATTATTATTACAGTGCTTCGTTTCATCCTTGGTGACTCTGTGCTTCATGCTCTTCTTTCTCCTTTTGCTTTTTTCTTTCTTTGGCTTCTGCGTCTGCCTGCTTCCACGAGCCCTCGTAATGATGCGTCACAAGTATATCGCCTTGATCCGTAGAGAATCCGTTTTGGGCCGCCGCAAATGAAACACCGGGCATGATCAAGACATCACCGACTATCTTCGGATGTTTGATTCCCGAGAAGTCGCGGTCATCCACCGTCCTGTTGAGCAATTGTCCTAGACTTTCTAAGATGGCAATCGTCATGATCTTAGGTCCGGTCACGTTCACCACATCCTTGAGCATCTCCAATGTGATACCGGATATAGACACATTGTTGGTCTTTGCAATCTCCTTCAACTTGTTGGTGACAGCGTTAACAATCACAAGCAGGTTGCGAGATGACGGCTGTGCTGCAAACACCCAGTTGCAAAATTGAGATGCGACCTCGGCTTCAGGGCCCCGATAAGCAAAATCGAATTCCAAACCGACAATCATATCGAGATTTTTATTCTTGTACTCCGTGGGCACCCAGTCAGAAAGTGATTTCTCCAAAGTGACATCTAAATCACTTCAGTACCCGCCCTCAGCGAGAACAATCAAATAACGAAGAAGATCTGCCCGTAAAATTGGAATGGATAAGGTTTCAATGACTTCGACAATATCTGGCCGCGTCTCCTGGTAGTATGCGCGAACAAACGCCTCGCCAGATCGGTCAGTAAGCAATTCTTAGCGGCATTCAGGAGTAGTGCTCGACCAGCTGTTCACCCATTTGCGTTGATCTTCCGATATGTCATCTGTTTTTGCGGAATGCCAGACTTTATCCGGAATATTGGAAATTGAAGTGTTAGCGTTTGAGTGGTGAAATTTGGATTTGCTAGGCGAAGGATCTTTAGGGATTTGTGAAGTTGGGGGAGCTGAACTTGCGTCGCCGGTCGCAATGGCCCCTGAGGAGGGGTTCGAGCTGGGAATGACCTTTTGTACTGGCTTCCAATCCGCATAGAAAGTGCACACGAGTGCGAAAATCACGACAATAGGAACGACCAGGCGTAAGGCGCGCGAATTGTTCAAGTTGGTGATTGATAACATGGTGTGGGGACCCCTCAGGGCAGATGTGCAGAGGCGAAAGAGATAGCCGCAAAACAAAAACAGCAGTGAGAAAATGAAAGTCGAAGATAGTATAAAAGAAGGTGGACACAATGGAGACAAACAAAATAAAAAAGAGCAGAAGTGAGACCTTTGAGTATCATGGCTCCAGCTTTAGCGCTTAGATTCGACGATTGTGGTTAACCCCGTACGGGAATCTCCGTTCCTGATCCACCACTGGCCCAGACATATCAGAATTTGCTCCAGGAGGGTGCATTAGGGTCTGCGATTAAGTGGCTTTGAGTGGTCGGAATACGCCGTTTTATTTGCCGGGTCTTAGTGGCGGTTATTGTAGTCCCCTGATTGGCCTGACGCTATACCCTGGCGCGACATTCCATTTCCCGTATTTAGAGACGATCTTCTAGATCAACGATGTCGACTTCATCCACACCATTTTCGAAATGGTTTATGCTACTGAGTATCATGCTTTTGTCTCATGGTGCTACGAGCCAGAGTAATGCTATGAATGCTTCGATACAGAGTGACCCTCATTTTATCAGATGGTACATGGGACCTTCAACAAGTGAGTGCGCACCCACGATCGATCTACGCAGAGTTTAGAACCGGACTGAGCTTATTTATTTCCAGCCCAGGCATTAACAGATCCCGAGACTTGGACTAACTCTGGGAACTATGCGCGCGGTTGCTCTAAAGGTGCTTGCGGCTATGCCACAGATTGTACAGGCAATAGTATCACCTATGATGATGGTAAAACGTCTTCATGGTAAGTATTTGGAAGGAACAGTATCCCAATAAGTAAAGTAAGGGACTGACTTATTACTTTCTTTTCGCACCTAGCAATGTATTTCGTACCATGACCATCTTCCAATCAGCACCATACGCAAACAACGGCCGCACCCACAGTTGCCGCATCGACCACGGCCACCCAAGCCGGTGATTCGCGGACCGTGACAGGATCGCAATCTAGTCAGAGCCAAGGCTGGATTGTAGGAGCTATAATCGGCTCTGTTGCGGCCACCGCGTTAATTGCGGGTCTTGTTGGATGGTTCGTATACCTCCGAAAGAAAGCGCAGCAATTATCCGTAAAGGAAGAGTCTATCGCCAGACAGAGTCTTCCTTACCAACAAAGCACCCACAAGGCACCGCAAGAGATAGATACGGCTTCCAACCCTTTAAACCCATTTGTACATGAGCTCAGCTCGTACGGCTATAAATAAGGGACCTATAATGTATTTTCTAGGGCTGAGGTTGTTGAAAGACCAATAATACGGCGGGCATGATACAGGCACCCTATTGGACATGAATAACGAGCGTACTATCTTTGTATCTTATTCTAGGGGCCCTTTTCTACGATGTGAATGATGGAGAGGCGTTTTGTTCTAATTTTGTTTAATTTTTTTTCTTGGGGTTCTATCTGCAAATATTCCTTAGGGTTATTTCGCATATTTTGTTGGCACGAGTTGAGCTTTGAATGTTCACATCAACCACAGCAAATAGTTGACTCGTTTACAACCCTTGTCGGCTTCCTATCACTTTGTGTAACATGGCAATGTTAGTTAAACAATAAATCATCTCCTAGAATATGAGAAGTGGAACTAACCCAGAACTAATAGTCTCCCAAATAAAGATGAATGACCCAATATAAGCACCAATAAAGATACAAATAATGAAATACCCATTGTAATACATAATCCACAATCTTTAAATTGTAGGCTTCAACCACATCACTTCGTCGACGCGCGCGCTTCGTGTAATAAGGCCTCGGCGACCACGAACACATATTAGTTCTATCTGTGCTCTCCCTACCCAAATCTTCAAATTAATATATCTTATAGCCCACCCTAACCCTAACGCTTGTATTCTCACTATTAAAAATCGGAACAGTCAGTTCTACTGATAATTCAACGGATCGCTTCTAACCACCCGGAACTGAGGTCAGAATTTTTATCGGAGATGTCGTCCGAATACCATGTGTCGAATACCAAGTCCGAATACATGGTAGAAACCAGGTAATATACCGGAAACATCATGTGACATTGGGTACCAGGCATACCATACAAAAGTGCATATTACAGTTAGTCATCATGGTCCGCATAGATTGTTGAAATAGCGGGTTTTGTCATTTTAGTTAGTTAGAGTTGTCAACATTGGTCATTTATACCATATATTGTTCGTACACCAGCTTTCCGTCAGTTATGAGCCCGGAATCGTTCTATTAAACCCAGCTATCGTCGAATTGAGGTCAAAGTGACATTGTATCGTCACCCCCGTCGCCGAAGCCAACCCCTAAACCAACCCCTGAATTAAGAATCGGAAGCCTGTCTATAAAGGATAACGAATATGGCTGAATACCTCTCCGTAGGTACATCCTCTCGCGTTATACTAAAGGATACAACGATATAGGATGTATAGCTAGCCAATATTAAATCGATTATAGTGCAATTCGACGTATAGGAGCTATGTGATCCTAGCAATAATAAGAGACTAGAGCTACTAGTAGCACCTAAGAAAGTCATCTCAATTGTAGAAGTACAAATATAGTATAAAGACTAATAGGTCGATATATATAAGATACTATAGATAGAATAGGCTAATAACAACGTAGCCTATATCTAGTAGAAGAAAGGACTAAACGTAGTAGTAATAGCTATTCGGAATAGCGTCTATACTAACTACTAACCGTTTATTATCGACTTTAAGATACCGTATGACCTCCTCCGTAACCTCCGACAACGGTTCGCCGCCGAGTATAATCTAATAAATATAGCTAGGCTTCGTTAGCTTTGGCGTACCCTAGATCGAGGATTAGATCGGAATACTGATATCGATAAGTAGTTGTTAAACTAGGAGACCGTATAGGTAAGGTATAAGAGAGCGAAAATACTAGAAGTAGATAATACTCTAACTTAGTTCCTAGATACTATCTTAGTAATATCCCCTAGGTTTTATAAAACATAGACCCTAAGACTATAAGATAAAGTAGATAATATAACGTTTACGTTTACCGAGCTTCTTAACCGATATAGAGCTTACTAGAGAATCACCTATAGTAAGCCAGCCACTAACTAGAGAGGTATTTCCAGAGCTATATTTTCGATATAGCAAGGTTATAAAGAAGCTAAGCCTAAAACCTAGCTCTTTAATAGACCCTATCTATATAGCTAGAGTAATAGCCGGTATCTAGCTTAGAAATGTTGGGACGTATTCGATGAGAATAAGCCGCCTTTATATATAAGAAACTAAGGTGCTAAGGACAAATAGGAGAAAGTAATAAAAGCTGACCCCGCCTAGAAAGCCTAGGTTGATAAGAAACGTTAAAAGGTCAAAGCAACAGAGTAAGCAAATGCCGCTTTTGAAGACCAAGGTTATAGCTTTGTTAAAAGATACTCTACAAGTCAGGGTAGGTGCCTGTCAATCAGGTAGGAGAAGGTAACAAGATAGGTGGTTCCCAGAAGTCAAAGACTGTTTCTTAAAGAGCCGTCAGGCTTCCTTCATATAGTCCAATTTATATACAGTCTCCCCATATTGATAGCGGGAGGAAATGTGATACGTGGAGCGGGGTCTCGTTCCCGCGGGGAACCCTTCTCGGAAGGGTATAGAAATATGGGCGATCCCCCTCCGGAGAGGTCAAACCTCCTATAGGCCTAAGGCACCAATCTAGGAATAGCCTTATGTCTGATTATATCATAACAAATCATCCCTCCTTTAAGAATCGCGTGCCCTCACGCGGGGTGACAGGTAATTGGGGGGAAGCATATGATAGGGTAAACGATACAAAATAGGTAGGAGCGTGAGGTAGGCAAACAAAGCAAGATCTCGCCTATAAGAATAGGGGACGCGTCCCTTTATTATAATCCTATAGCCTCTCTTCGTTTTACTTCTACTCTTCGTATCTCACTTCCCTCCCTTTCCCTTTATTAGAATCGTCGTTTCGTTGGCTCTTCTTCGGTTTCGAGGTGCCGGAAATATCACGATACCTCGACGAAACCCCGTGCGTAATACCCGCCCTCTTTTAGAGGCCCTAGTTCGTATTAGGATCCTCTAGTATATATACTGCCTACGTACCGCAATCGCCGAGTAGAAGGAGGACTAGACTCGCCCTTTTAAGATCAACTACGTAATAGACGCTAAGGCTTCCGTCGCGTATAAGCAGTGTTCTAGCCGCGCTTCGATATATATTCCTATAGGTTTCGCTAAGTTTTATATATAGGGGTAGCGGCTAACAATTCTTAGGCCGCGACCGCGGTACTCGGCGACTATTAGGACCTAAGTAACGTACTAGCGTAGGCCTATAAGGTATTCTAGCTAGACTAGGTTAATATTAATAGTACTAAGGAGGATAGTAGCGAGCTAGAATAGCCGTTTTCTACGGAGACCCGTTAAGTGGTCGCCGAGAAGATAATAGAGCTCTATAAGTCCTTCAACGCCTCGGAGTAGGCTTACCGTAAGGAGTATAGGTTAACCGGCAATAAGGCCTAGGTTAAGGTATATAACAAGGTGGTTTTAAGTAAGGTTTTCGGCGTTCTCTAACCATAGTTTCGGTAGCAAACCCGGGCCGACTATAATATATTTCTAGTAGGCTGTCGATCCGCGCTCCCTCCTATCGCCGCCCCTAATTTCTTTAATACCTAAGAGTAGAGAGTAGCCTATTTTTCGAAGGGACTTATACGTCTTTTACCTAGAGATAAGGGATACGTTCTATAGACCCTAGCGAAGCGGGTATTTTACGAAGGTATTTCGGCGGAGGTTCGCGAGGCTTAAGATACCCTAGACTCTAATACAGATAATAATACTTCTATCGGGGGTAATAAGATAGAGGAGCGGACTATAATAGATTTCCCTATTCCCTTAGAGGAGATTTAAGAGTAGGCCCAGTTATATTTTTAGATACTTTTATTATACTACCGTTTCGGCGTCTCCTTTCCTACTTATTAGCCAGGTTTCCCTTATCTTTTAGGGTAGTTTCGCTATCCCTTCGTAGTAACTAAGGGTTTTTTTCCTTTTTCCGCTTCTAGTAAGAGTATATTACTTTAGTTGCATTTTCTATATCTCCCTAGGGAACCTATTAGTTATATTCCGAGGGCTATCCTTTCTATTTAATAAGGAAGTATTTTTCGTCCTTAATTTATTTTTTATTATATACTTCTTCGACCTCGTATTCCTCTTCGTCTTCTAAGTCGGATATCGATAGGGATTCGCTACCCTTTCTAGGTAGTTTTCTCTATAGTTCGAGGAGGGTTATATAGAAGATATTATAGATTCGATTATATTACTAAGGTAAGCTTAGACAGTAAGCTTATTTTTCGATAGCCTATAAGACGCGAAAAAGGCCGATAAAGCGGGGTACTAATTTTCTACTCCCTTTTAATCTAAGGTTTTTTATTAATAGACTAATAAGATCTCCCTTTTTAAATTATATTAGAACGTAGTCCTTATTATAATATTTTACTATAGTTTCGTTTGCCTTTCGCTAGTATTCCTATAGTTTCTAGCGGAGGTTTTCTAATTTCTTAACTCGCGCGGACGCCGCTAGGACCTCTCTATAGGGAGTTTCGCCCTTAAAACGTTACCGGAAGTCGGGTAAGTATCCTAGTAGGGCCTAAAATAGAGATATACTAGTTATTACGTTAATAGCGTTATTATATATAAATTCGGTAGATCTTAGTAAAGAAGCCTATAAGACTTACTTATCGTCTATAAAATACCGGAGGTAATATTTAAGGGTTTAGTTTATACGTTCCGTTTGCCTATCGGTTTATAGATAAAACGCTATCGAAAGCCTAAGGCGTATTTATAATAGGTAGTATAGTTTTAACTAGAACTTACTCGTAAATAGTAATCTATAGTCGGATACGATACCCTTAGGGGGTCCGAAGCGTAGTTTAACGTAGTTATAGAATAGTTTAGCGAGGTCTCTAGTAGTAATCGTTAATAAAA